TGTTGGTTTATTATATTTATATTTTGGAATATGAGGAATCTCACTCTTCCTATTGGATTTTCACTAGGAAACAGGAGAAGTCAGAACACCAATGTAGTAGTAGTAGAAAGAGTGAGCATTCAAGGTTGTCAGGAATTATGCGGTGTAGATCTCACTGCTGGGATTTCAGAGAAACATTTTAAAAACAAGATCAAGAGTGGCTCAACACACCAGAATCAATGTTTATTTTGTTTAAGCATTCAGTCTTTCTATTACATTATCAAATATGTACTATCAGCAAGCTATAGACAGAAATAAATAGTTTGTAAGTTCATATTCAGTCTTTGTGTACACCAGATCATCCCTTACACCTTTTACATGCTGCTTCTCTGGTAGGTTGGCTTTGGTGCCAGGAGCCCAGTGTGGTTCACCTTGATGTGGGTGCAAAAAAAAAAAGAAGTGTCAAATAGTGCGCAACTATGTCCCTAACCTCACCCTTCCCACTTAACCTAAAACAATTAGTTTATAATAAATTATCCTCAAAACCATTACATGACCTTATCTACTCACTACATTGTTTGCTTCTCAGCGCAAAATCCTGACGGACCTGACATCTTAGGACTGAAAACAAATGATTTGCACTCCCTTACCTTTCTATGCCTCTTTGTCTCTCTGCCCATATCTCCCTATGTCTTTAATCCCATTGGAAAAAATATCACAATATCACTTAATGTGTACGTATGACAAAAATTACATTTGCTTATTGATTCTGCTTTCTATTGTCAGTGGACCTGATAAAGGTGAAAAATGAATCTATGGAATTAGCACAAGCACCTCCTGAGTTCCCAGAAGGCATTGACCTAAGCTATGGATATGGTTCAGATTGTGCACCTTATAAAAACATCCAGCTGGAAAGACACAGCTCCTCATATGACCTCAACAGGCCTGGTCTAGGCAAACTATACTGTGATATTTGTGGATTGGCCTGCAACAGCCTCAACGTTTTACTGGTGCACAAGAGAAGCCATACAGGTAGGAATTTGTCCTTGCTCATTTGACATTATTTTAATTTGTTCTGCACCCCAGGTTACTGTGTGCCTCTTAAAACTTTCTAGTCACATGCTTGGCACAAAAATGCTAAGACAGTAAGTCATGTATTTTAAAAGAACAGCTCCGAGAATTATATCTGATAAGGACCATGGGAGGTAAACCTTATTTATGAATTACATATATTCAAATGCTGTCCTTTCCAACATACATCTCCCTTAATACTGAGACCTGAGCTCAGCTGTAACATTAACTCAGTGCTCCAGTTCTGTGCACTGTGTCATTCTAGTCTTAGCTATTTTCTGAATGAAATTAGTCGCTGCAAATTGTGGCAAGGATTGAAGGTAGGCAGCAGACTGAAGCATTGAGCTAACGGCACCAGTGCACTTAAGTCCACGTTTTAGGAGTGCTCTATGCTCTAAGGGACAGCAGCAGCACATTAAACTCAACCTCTATTATCCGTTTTAGATATAATTCCTGGGGGTTTTTTTTTCATGCAGAACGTCAGGAAAACAGCTAAATACAAAGTTGAAATACATATTTAATGTGTACTGTTTTAACTGACAAAACATTTGGAATTCTGTTCAGCAAGAAACTTGGTGCCATACCACCACTAGACAGTGCTGATGAGCATAGGAATGTCCGCTCCTCTGCTTGGTGGGCGGGCTTTTGGCTATTGCAATTTGAAATATCCCACAGCAGTCTGGCTATTGAAACCCATTGTTTAAATTGTGCTGCCGACCGTGGACTCTAGCCGCTGGCTGGCAGCAAAATGTAAACGAAGAATTTCATTTGCAAATAAATTTAATTGCTAACAACATTTTTTAGTCTCCACATTTTTGTGAAGCAACAGCAAAAAAAATCGAGGACATACAGGTGAAACTCGAATAATTAGAATATCGTGCAAAGTTCATTTATTTCACTAATGCAACTTAAAAGGTGAAACTAATATATGAGATAGACTCATTAAATGCAAAGCAAGATAATTCAAGCTGTGATCTGTCATAATTGTGATGATTATGGCTTACAGCTCATGAAAACCCCAAGAACCCCAAATCCACAACCTCAAAAAAGTAGATTATTACATGCAATCAATAAAACAAGGATTGTACATAGAACAATATCAGACCTCTGAAAAGTACAAGCACTTACTGCAATTACTTTTGCATGATATTCTAATTATTCGAGTTTCACCTGTATATCCTCAATTTTTTTTTTTCCATTTGCATGAGAGTTACGGTTGCTTGAATGCCGGATAATGTGGAGTTTACTGTACCTTTTTGTACTTTTTTATATGATTGTTTTTTGTCCCTAAAACTATATATGGTAATACTGGGATGTTGGTACAGAGCTTTAGCTCTTTGGGTTGGAAGATCCCATATACAAATGAGTTATCTCTGTTAAAATTAGGTAGTAGGAGCTTTTCTTTTACTCTAAACCCATGATCAGTCTCAGTGTTATAATAAGAAACACTGCACACCAATTAGAGCTATGTCACTAAACATGAATTCTCAGTGCAGTAAATCTAAGGTAGTGGCTGCCATATTCCATACAATAGGCTGCCTGCAATTTATTCTCAAGCTCTTCATAGACAGGGGAGGCACTTTATTTTTTTGGGACATTGGATTTATTTGGTTTTGAAAAATTTTAGAAGTTTAGGAAAATCATACTTTGAATGGATAGGTATTTTTGTTATAAAACTAAACTGAACAAGTCAGCCAATTAAATCTTAAACAAACAGCTAAATGCTCACAGGAAATACATTAAAGGACCTGTAATATAAGCCAATAAAGGGGCCTGTAATATAAGCCAAAGGAGTTGTATTTCTATCCATCCATTTCTGAAATTTACACTGCCATATAGCAGAGCCAGGCAGATGACACTACTTTCTCAGTTATAGACTGTGGAGGTGGTACAGTAGGCTCCTCCACAGCCATCCTGTTGATTGGTCTGTAAAGGAGCAACAGGGGCCGGATGAAGTCATCTCTTGGTTCTCTCCTCCTTTCAGCATGTTCCTTATCATCACATTTGTATTCAGCACACCTGATTGGCTCCCAGTTTTGCTCCTCCCTCTCCTTGTCTGGCTATGGAGGCTGATACCAATGTTTTTACAGGTTATATTCCTGTCTTTACCCTAGTTGCATTAACAAATACATTTAATGATTTAGTAATGAATTCAGTTATAATTATTTATTTTATATTTGCAGCTCAGCTTTAAACTTCTGAAAGTAAAAGAAGCCTGTGAACCTGTTTTTATCCTTGTTAGTCGGAAAACCCTTTTCTGTGCCCTAAAGATGAAGCCGTTTTTGGCCACTGATGCATTCTCCCTGAACAGGGGGTTGTAGGCAGATGTGGTTTAGATCCCAGAACTTGGACTTCAACCCAGAGTTGGGGAAGTCAAGCCCTTAGTAATAAAATAAATCCGGGATCAGAGGAACCAGGATCAGAGGGATGCTGAAATCAGCAATACATCGGGTGGCTTTGGGTCGGCCGAACATGCTAGCCGATCCAACATCTGGATCGGCTAAGCCGAACCTCCGGCAGGCTACTCGCTGCTGTTCGGTCTATTCCTATAGATGCCGAACAGCAGTGAGTGAATAGCCGAATGCCGCTGAGTGGCATTCCGCTCGGCTGTTCTGCTCAGTCCCTCAGAGGGACCGAGCAGAACAGAAAAATAGTTAAAACAGTATAAAAAAAGAAATGGAAAACGATTGTGCGGAGCTAGCAATGACAGCTAGCTCCGTCCAACAGTTTTCTATTGTCCGGCGGTTCTGCTGCCGTAAAAAAAAAAGTTTAAAAAAAACCTCTCCTGGGTGCTCTGGGAGTCTCCCGCTCCCGGCCGCCCAGGAGAGAAACACTGATTTTTCTTTTTTTTCTTTATTCTGACACGGCTCTGTGTCAGAATAAAGAAAAAGCAGTGTTTCTCTCCTGGGCAGCCGGGAGCGGAAGACTCCCGGAGCACCCGGGAGAGTTTGCTGTCTGGAGATCAGTGTCCCTGGTTAGCTGGTAACCAGGGACGCTGATCTCTCTGCAAACGGCCGGAGCCAGCCGTAAGATCACGGCTGGCTCCGCCCAGCTGTCAGAAGCATGCTGTCGGCCGACCAATGGCCTGCCGCTCTGCCAGCTTCGGCTTTCAGCGTGGCCGAGGCATATTGTGAATAGCCTGTACAGCAGCCCTTCGGTTCTACCGAACCAAAGGGTTCCTGGGGGCGAAGCTAGCCGAAGGATCGGCCGAAGCTACTGCTAGATCCTTCGGCTGCTTCGTGAATAGACCCCTTAGTCATGAATTTTTACTTTTACAAGCCTATCAAGTTCAAAGACACATTGCATGTAAATAGAAGATCATATATGGAAAGGAAAGACACTACAAGTGAGCATTTAAAATACTTAGGGGGGAATTCATCAAAAGCAATTGCGACAGTTTTAGCCTCTTAGTTCATTTTTTTATGTACAAATCTGTCTTTTATAATGTACGCCTTATTTAAACTGAGCTTGCACTATTTTCCAATTGCACGTGTTTTGCGCCTGTTTTCATCTGCACTTGTTCTGCGGCTGTCCGAAACTGGAGCATCACCTAACAAAAGAATTGCAATTTAAGAAGTCCCCATGACCACTTCTTCAGCGACAGTTAAGCTTTTTGCCCGGAGTTATGAGTCTTCCTTCCTGGAGTCTATTTGATCTAATTTATGACCAACATTACACTAGCAACATAAATCTGGCGCAAAGTGTGTCAAATATATTCCGTGCAAGTTCAAATACTCGTAATTGCTATGATAAATTCCCCCCTCAATGTTTCTGTGCTTTTATCTACACATTTTTAAGTTGGTGACTCTTGAAAGTATTGAAACTGAAAATGAAGGTCAGCATGACAACCAGGTTACCAGCATTTTCAGAAATGGGTCAACAATGGCAACCTTTATAATTCTCTCACATTGAGTGTACTTCAAGAAACATAAACCAGAAAAGGTACCTTGATCTCAAGAGCCTATTCTCTAAGAACTGTTAAAATACTGATACATACAGCAAATGTTCTGATCAGTGTACATTTAATAAAACATTGGAAGGGTTTGCTGCCTGACTCTCATGTCTGGACACAGAAATACAGTAAATTTGAGTATGATGAATAAATGAGACAGTGTAGTAAAGGCATTGTGTGGGAAGAGATTGACTTCTTGTTGACGTGTTTAGAAACGTAGGATCAGAATTTGAAGTTTACCCAGGTATTTAACAGAACAAGATGTGAAGCATGGGCTGTGCAATCTGAGATATCCACAGGGTTCATATCTCCCAGAGATTCTAGTTGTAATCTTTGTAGTAGGAAGGTTGCAAAGCAAAGAATTTTGTAAAGTGACTGTGGCCCTGCCCAGGGGCTCTTTTAGAAAAATGCTAAATCTGGCTGCACTATTTAAGGCTTGAATTAAGTTATGGTACTTCCTGAATAGTTGTAGTGGTTCACAAATTATTTCTTTACATGCTGAATGGAGTTTGCTCTTATAGGCCCGTGCTTGCCTGTTACAGGGGAACGTCCTTTCCAGTGCAATCAGTGTGGAGCATCATTTACCCAGAAAGGGAATTTACTCAGACACGGCAAGCTGCATACTGGAGAGAAACCTTTCAAATGCCATATGTGCAGCTACGCCTGCCAAAGGAGAGATGCCCTGTCCGGGCACCTCCGCACACACTCTGGTGAGCATACCTTCAAATTTCCTCACACTCACTACATTTAAAGGTCAACTCCTTCCAAATTGTTCTGGTGAGTTCAATCACCTGCCAAACTCCTATTTCTCTTGGGTACTCCTGTAAAACAGTTTGTGCCTCGACCCTTCGCATAAAACCATAATAAAGACATTGCTTGTAGCGGACTATACAGTTATTTGCGTATCCTTCATTATGAGGAACCCTTTGGGGGAGGATTATTCCATTACTTCGTTTTGTGATAAGCTGCCAGAAGTGGCGGAACTGGAAGTTCTAGTGGACGATTCTTAACACTGGAGTACCCAAGAGGTGTAAGGAACCAGCATGTGCTTGAGCTGCCAGCAACTATGCACAACTGAACTAGTTTTGGTGAAGTTGTTCATTAAGCGTTGTAAGAGTTCAGTTAATTGTCACTAACACACTTAAAATGTCTTTATTAGCATGTAGATATGGTGCACGTAACTTATACCATGTCAGTTTACCAATAGAAACATTTTTAAGGAAGTCTGTGCTGAAGGAAACATGTAGCCTGCCATTGATATATGCAGCAGGGTGGGTGTGACAGATGTCAAAACGTCTGATCTGCTTACTTGCTCTTTGAAACTCCCAATTTGCCTTCTTGGTCAGTATCTCAGAAACTAATAAAGAAAATTAGTCAGGCAACTAGCATTTTCAGAAGGACATCAGCAATGGCAACCTACATATTTCTCTGAGCATTGTTTTTTCTCAATAGATGTCAGCTAACTGAACTTTTCTATGTATAAAGTCCTTGTGGTTTCACAAGGATTGACTAATACTTTGTGTACAGGATATAAGCATATAGTAAAGATATTATTTATTTATATTGCACAAACATATTTGCGGCACATATACGAAACCATTTCATATCAGTCTCTTCCACCAAATGAACATGCAGTCAGTTGTCCTGGCCAATTTACATTGTTGGCCTGTTAGCAAAGGCCTGAGTCATAGGAGTTATAAAATACAATTTAGCCTGTCCAGGCTTAAGTCGGGCATAGTCGTTGATTTAGCCTACGGGATGTCAGCAGCACAGGGCTGACAATTGTGGTGAGCATGCAAAGAATCATTGAAGGAAACCTGTGCACCTGAATGAAAAACCACACAAACCAAAAATATACACACACCATGCAGATGGATCTTGGGGGCGGGCATCAAATCCAGGCCCCAAGACTTGCAAGGAGGTAGGGCTAGCCACTGAGCCAGTATGTTGCTCCAGTTTACATGTAACCACACTGGGCACATTGCTGTGAGCTGTTCGATAAAATTTAGGTCAGTGATTCTAGTGGCTTAGAAACCTTTTGATGTTATTTTTGGCAGTCTCTTATTAGGTACTGAGTACCTCTCTGCGTGTCTATCTGTTGTATCTCATACATCTTTTAGTCATACATGCAAGTAGAGTTTGCATATTTGGTATAATTTCATTAAATATTTAAAGGGTCAGTCTACCCATAGTGTATATGACATTACAGGTTTGGTAGCTACTGGCAGACTGAATCACACACTGGTGGGCTTCTTATGTTTTGCAGACAGTTTATGTTCCCAACCTGCCCACTTACTCCAGTCATTATGTAACGGCTCACATTTGCTATGTTATATATATGTTTCTAATGGGGAGAATTAGGCTAATCCTCTTGCCAAAAAAGAAATAATCCTCCCCGGTTAATATATTTCTGTGCTAAAGTCCACAGAAGCACAGACGATGCATGGTGCCCATGGTTGAGTCAGGGGTGGGGGTATGCTGACTCTTTAACATGGTTGTTTAAAAAACAAAAATGTGATGAGAGAAATTAGGAGGCTGCCCATGCTGATCTTCTGGAATGCTAGATTTCCGGCTGTTATTCTGACCCACTGGCTTTTTTTTATTTTAAAGCCAATCTCAGGGCATTCCAGTTTTACCTCCCATCCGTCTCACCCCCTCACATGCATCTGGCAAGTCGTTTTGAAATAAACACCTTTGGATGCTTTACTTAACTCCTCTAAGTTGGCACCGCTTCCACAAGTCATGACTGGAGGCTTCAGCGTTGAGGTAGACTGGTCCCCTTTTTATGTTTGCTTTGTTGTCTTTTGAGGACCCTGCTGTTGGACTGCCAATGAGAAATATGCTGTGATCACACACAAAAAAGGGACCCTCCTCTTCTGCAGGAAAGAAGATAGTCTCAAGAGCTAGAGCATAATGTGAGCAGGGATCTAGATAAGTATTTCTGCCATTTAGATGTTAATAAGTATTTCGGCCATTTAGTTTTTTTTTAACGATCTTAGCTATTAGGGTGGGGTGGGGGTGTCTGAATGTTAGCTCTAAGTCAGTGACCTGGAATCAGTATACATATACTGAAGGTCAGAATAAAGCCCAAGGTCATTACCTGCGTACTTTTTCAGGACCAATTCCTTAATATAGCAAAAAAGGTAATTGTGATGGCCGGGCAGCTATCATCTTTTGAAGGAAGGATCAGCATTAGGAAGCCTCCATGTTTCTCTTATCACCGGTTTATTTCTATGCAAGAGTTTTGAGTATTGTTTTGTCTTACTTTGTGTTAGCCACTGCCACGTTGTGTACCTGAGTGTGGCTTATGAGGTAAGAATGGTTGGGTGCCTCTAATACAGACTACAAGCTGTTGTTTTATTGCCCTCAGTGGAGAAACCATACAAGTGTGAATTCTGTGGACGTAGCTACAAGCAGCGCAGCTCTCTGGAGGAACATAAGGAGCGATGTCGTGTTTATCTTCAAAATATTAATGAGTCTGGTGGGTTTATTGCTTACCTCACTAACATGGCAGCTTTGGTCCCTGAGAGGATGCCTCTTCAGGGAACCTTTCCACCTAATGCCTTTCTTACATTAACCTTTACTTAATGATGCATCACTTTATTTCAGTGTCCAGACAGAATAAATATGTATATGCATGGGTTAGTAACAGTTCACTGAAACACTACAAGTTGTTTTGGGCTTCTTTGTACTCTCAAGGTCTTCCACAAAACACCTCTAAGATCCTTACATTAAATCATAAAAGTTAGTTTTTTTAGTACAAGCATATAGAACATGTACAGTTAGCAACCTTAAACATGATTTCACCATGAAACATGGTAGATGGGAAAGGGTCTTTAGATCTTCTAAACAGGTTATAGGTCAGAAGGGGTAAAGTCAAGCTTAGCTTTCACAAGAAAAGTTGCGATTTGCATTTTATTAATCTTTAGATTTTCTGATGGGATTTTACCTATGTTTCTAGCACAGCTTTCCCAGGAAAAGTTGAGATTTCTGTTTCCATACTCTAGATTTCCTGTTTTGATTTTAGATTGGAAGACGTAGGGTATAGCACTGCTTTTACAGGAAAAGTTGAGATTTACTCAGAATTTTAGTTGCATGTGTCTCTAGATCCGTCGATGGGATTGATATGAGATTCTAATTGAAGGTAGCCTCTGTTTCTGCATTTTATCACATTCTTAGTTAGTGATTTTACAGGTTTGTGATAGGCTCACTTTAAGGTAGGAGCTGATATAAACAAAATATAACAGTTGTCAGTTAAAAAAAAAAATATTAGCTTTGGTTTTATGGCACCTTAGATGAAAGCAAAACAGTTTTCACACTTCATTATATTACAGCCAATGTTATTCAGAGATCATACGATAGATAGTACTTTTCTGCAGGTACAGCATGTCTCGAAAACAGTACAGTTTGGCATACTTTATGTAAAATTGCTAGAAGACTTGACTCAGCCTCTGATAACCATCTTGCACGCTCAACTCTTGTCTTGTGCATTGCTGGCTTCCTCCCTCTTTGCTCCACTCTCCTTCCTCCACTGACCACAAATGTGAAGGGACAGGAAGCAATGCCTGCCATTAGACAGCGAGGATACCCGAGTACTCACCCTCTATTGAGAGAGAATACAAAACCTCAAACCAATTCAGTGGAAATACTGACAAAATGCACAGTATCTTCAGAGAAGACAGCTTGCAGATGGCCTGTGCATTGCGATCACAGTGGCGGCTATTGTAGCCTGCTTGATGGCGTCAATGATGGAAGCAGCGACCACTAGACATTGTTTGATGTTTCCTCAGTCAGCAATGACACGTTTCTTCTTTTAAGTGGTGTGTATGTGCACCTAGCTCTAGCTTTATACAGTGGACACATCTCAGCTTCTATAAGAAGGCAATGCAGATAATAGTGATGATGTGGACAGTGGAATAGCCCAAAGTGTGCACTCAGATTTAATATTTCTGCTATCCGTAAATCCCCATTGCTTATTATGGGTTATAGCACCCCAACACATGACTGTATGCTTTGTTGAGCAAGTCCAGTTTGGATTTCTTTTTAAAAGCATCAGTTGATGTAGTCAGATTACTTGTCTAATTTTATCAGAGATAGAAAATAACACAGTTGGCTTTTGTATGCATCACATGGGTTTTGCACTTCCTTACAAATCTACGGGAAAGCAAAAACCATTACAAAAGGTGAAATGCAGGTCAGAAGGAGGTTAACTGCAGGTCAAATGCACTTGCACAATCAAAAAAATTCAAATAGAAAGAGTTAAATATAAATGCTTAAATTAGGACAGATAATTAGGACTATTCACAGTCAAATAAGGGCTATTGGGGGTTAAAAAGGCAGAATTTTCATTAAAAGAAATGAAATACACTTTTTTGATTTGTGAGGTTGCTGGAACTGACATGATGTGTAAATCAAAGGACACTCCTTTAAGCTTTTCATAAACATCAGATAAAATATATTCTAGCATGAATATTGCTACAATATTGCTACAGTTAGGAATAAAGCACGCAAACAGTGTTCACAGACTTTGGCCATACAGGAACCATTGTTTGCCCTCCTGAGACAGACCAGAACCTGACTGTTAGTCCCAGTGGTTTCAGTGAGCAGAGGTAAGAGGGCTTTGGGCCTACAAGGTACCCTCAAGGTATTTAGATGGAGTTTTCCTGGTATCATAATTTCCCTGCCTCCTTTTACATGAGCTCTCTATCGGTTGAACTCGATGGACTTGTGTCTTTTTTCTGCCTGACTGACTAACTAACTATGCTAAGGAATAGAACATGTAGTCTCTGTTAATGCAGAGCACATCACCATTGGTGTCCCATGTCCTGTACTGTTTTGCTCCATCCCTTTTCCTTTCCCTTCACATAAACATGCTAGGTTGGCAGAGCCCACCTCTGAAGTTAATGGGGTGTTCTAGAGCAAGTTTTAGATTTTCTGCTCTGAAGATGGTCAGGTTGTCCCTGCTTTAGTCCCACCAGTTCTCCTACTACTGATGGCCCGCAATGTAATTTAACCATCAATGAGTTCAGATGTGCATTCTTGCATATAATAGCGCACAACAAGAGTGTTGTATTTGGCAAACATCAGTTAGAAATAAAACAGATGGTTCTACTGATATAGAATGGCAGGCATTACAACTTACAGATGCTATCCTCATTCTTGGTTAGTTTTTGCTGATTTGTTGCTTACTATGCTATTTGCCACTGTTGCTTTTGTTATTAGCCTTTCAATGATATCAGGGTTATGTAAGCCATTCTGTCTGCAAAGAAGATTCATGTTTCTGTTTACAATAATTTTAGTCTATTCTTCCTACAAATCCTTCTGTCTTCATGTCACTTCCTCTAGATCGTGCAGATAGCGATGTTTGCACAAGCAGTATATTCTGTCTCTTTGTTTAAAAGTAGAAGGTTTTATCTGTCTTTGCTGCTTTATGTTGACCACAAGTTCCCTTACAATGAAGCAGTGAGAAAAAAAAATACTTGATATTTAGTGCCAGGTTTTTATTTTCTCACAACGTTAAGGACATTTGAATGTTTTTTTATGTTCTTTATTTTCTCTCTTTCCATATCACAGCTGTAGAGGAGCCCAAACACATGAAGCCAGAGATAGGGAGTGAACGGGCAATGGTCCTGGACCGTTTAGCCAGCAATGTGGCAAAGAGAAAGAGCTCCATGCCTCAAAAGTTTACTGGTAAGAGATATGATTATTCAGAGTTAATGCCAACCAAAACTTTTTATTTGTTTTGTATACAAAGGGAAAGGTCTAAAATTTCTGTTAGGTTTTATTGTTGTCAGAGGCCTTGCCTTATAAGGGAGATTTTCCTGTTGAAGCGACAAAGAGGATACAGGAGTCAATAAAAAGCTGATTAGGGATCCAACTTTCCCCTTTCTACTGAGAAAGAGTGTTTTCATTTTTGTCTGTGTCTGTACCTTGGAGATTTGTCTTCACTTCCTGTTCTGGTTCTAATGTTGTCACTAAGACAGGAATAAAATTTAAGGTATCGTACATGGGCATTAATAATTCTCAGAGGATTTTATTCAGATGAACATTAAATATAAATGTAGGTTTATCTGACAGCAGGCTACATGAAGGTATCTACAGATAACCTATGATCGTACTTTAAAATGTATGATTTGGTAACATGCTATTTATATGTTCCACTGACAATATGAACGACCAGCTATTGTTCCCAGAAGAATTGGGTTTTCCTTTGTAACAAGATTTATACAAATATTTGTTTGGTAGTTAAAGGATAACCGTGCCTTTGGAAAAAACTAAATTAAGATTAAAGTCCTGCAAAAAGAAGACCTCTTTTGCTCACCTCTCCGGTGGCCCTTGTTTTCTACCTCCCCTCTATTCTAGAGCTGCAGCTTCCAGTAGCATCTTTGGCATTTGAGACTGCCAGTTGAGTTGGATGCTTGTGCCCCCACTGTTCACCATCGTTCCATCCTTTGAAGGAATCCATCCTATTTCACTTCTGAGTCATGAAGTGATGCAGTGGTCGGAAAAAATATATTATTTATCTCAAATATTGTTTTATATGTATTAATATAATAATAGTAGTGTCCTGCTTGTTAAGAAACCAATGTGCTATACAGAATGTGATCGAATGAAACAATATTGTCAAAGATGATGACTACTGCATCACATAGGTTTGAATGAACAAGCAGAATTTTTTCTGTTTTTAACTCTATCCAATTGCTCAGCATGTGCCATTATATGGAGTTAAATGTGAGACGTCCTGTGCACCATACAATTTTAGGTACGGTCAGAGAACAACCAGGTTACATCTGCCTGAAGGTGAGAGGATAGTGTTGGGATATAATGTATGGTCTCATTAGTACTTTGAGCTATGCAGGGCCTAGGAGCTTCAGTGCTACTCAAATGGAACTGTGTATACAGTATAAGACAGTCAATGGTTGGCCAATGCATGACCAAAAATGAAATTGTTGTACTGTAGCCAAAACCTTCACATGTAGCTTAGTATTTTCAGCTTTCATATATTTCTACCCTAATGGGTTCCCTTTAACCTATCGTATGATGAGACTGGGTTGGCTGTCCTAAGTTAAAGTATCCATAGATTGCCTTACATTGAAAATAGATGCACCGATGAGAAGATCACTTGTGACTATATCAGTCAGAAGAGTACAAGTTGGTTAGTTGCTAAGGGTTACTGTGCTTTGTTCCTTGCTGTTTGCCTTATTAAATATAAGCTTTTCACTTTCTAACGTTTACATTTACAGTGTAGCTTTAAATCTCATTTACTACTAACTCTGTCTCTCCCGGGGATTTCCCCTTGTTGCTGATGGATGCCTGGGTTTCACAACCTCTTTCCAGTGGTATAGAGGTGTTATCATGCAGAGAAAATTGGGTCTGTTTGTTTTGGTTGGCAAGAAGAAAATTGTAAGCTTAGTCAAGCTTGAATTCTGAAATGGAAAGATTTACCAAACCATTTGCACTCATTTTTCTCAGTTACATATAAAAAAACTGTTTTAAAAAATCCAGTTAATATCAGGGTGTGTACGTGTGTCGTTTGTCTAGGTTTGAGATGCTGTAATATTGTAAATCCTCTCAGAGTAATGTGAGAGCAGCTCTAATCAATCAAATGGAAGTGTGTAGAGAAGAATTTAGTGTCAGATCAAAAGTTCATGGTTACTATGTTGTCATGGCTACCATGTTGTGCCCAACGAAACAGGATGTTGTCTGAGATAGGTTTCATTCCTGATATAGAGAAAGTAACATTTGGGGCATTTTATTTTGTGCCACAAGACTGTACATGTACTTGGTTATAGAACATGCAGGGTGGCAGGTAGCGGGGCCTGCTGCGGGTGGGCAGAGTTTATGCCCCAATTCTGGGCCTCCATAGCAAAGTGAAATTAGTCTCAGAGAGAACATAGAGTCCACATCTGGGCAAGATAGGTAATAACAGGCCCCGTTTCTCCTTATAATTCAATTTATTATGCCAAATTTTGGTAGTAAAATGTTTTAGCAAAATTTGCATCAAAGCTCCTGATGGGATGTACTTATTAATTGGAAACATTAATCTGCAGCATAGATCTTTCTTGGTAAATAAGCAACAGTCAAAACCAGAATTTCCCACATAAACCTGACTTTTTATAAATAGACTGTAAATGTACTCTATATGAGGTATGGAACAACATCTTCTGCCATGCATTGCTTGCACTGTATAGGAAGAGTGTTATTACATTGATCTATTGTGTTTTTTCAACACACTAATCTTTTGTTTCTTTCAGCTGACAACAGATTGTAATTTATTATAAATGTTACATTATCTTCCTTACCCTTTCCTCCTTGAATTTTTATTCCGTTTTTTGTTTATTGTTTTTAAATGAAAGGTTTCATGTATAACGTAAAATGAATTGCATGGGGTATAGTTTTCTTTTCTATATTTGCCTCCACGTTTGTCATTGCCACCTTTTTTGTTCTGCTTGGTGGAACAGGAATGTATATATCAGGTGTTGAGACATCTGATATGTGCATGCTTGATGACAGGTTCCAGTTTCCTCTTCACAACAGAAAATATTTCAAGATATCTTACAGTTTTACATGGCTGGCCTGTACAAAAATATTGTATAAACTGGATTTTTAATGCAAAACAGCCTTCCCTGAGGTAGAACGAAAGTATTAAATTTCTTGGAATAACCTGGCTTCTTCATTCTTCCTTTAAATATGTAGATACGCACTAATTAACCTCATCACGCTCCAGCACTGTCCCCAGCTTCTTCCTCTGGTCCTCTTCCAGGTTGAAAGGCAGCCATCATAGTTCAGCCTATCACCTGCGTGCCCAGACTTTGAATACCACAAGTGTCATTGCTCAGCCTGGGCTCACAGTACTCCCAGAGCCTAATAGTAAAGACCCCCTCCATCTGTGGAAAAAGAGGAAGGATCTGTGACATCACTGGACCAGCTAGAAGGCTATATTAAAAAAGTTAAGTATATGGCGTTTTTAGTAAGAAGACAGTGGGTAGGGAGGCCTCAAGGGGGGCTTTTTGTGCAAGAATATACGGCCAGAATTCTGCTTTAAGCAAAACACTGACAATAACTTTTTTCCTGCTGGACCTGACCAGTATCTGTGGTGTTTTACACCAGCAGCTCATGCTGATACTCTATAATGTCCCTTTAGCCCTAGGAAAAAAGTTGGCTGTTGCCATCTGCTCAGAAGACACCATGTGGTTCAGCAGGCACAGACCATTTACCCTTTTTGGAGTGGCTTAATTGTATATATTTTCAAGGGAGCATTGCCTGAATCTCTGTACCTGTACACAGTTCCCCAGTGAAATCTTAATTTTGTTTCTGTGAAGAAAATGCCTCTTTATTTAAATCAATCTGATACTGACATCCTCCCACTGCACAATGCTGATGGAATAATCTATGTGATTGTCAGTGAGGCTTAACAATATGTGCTCTGATATATACACCTTTCCGAGCAAAAAGGAGAAGAATCGGGTCTGGCAGTTAACAGAAAAAAGGAAGCTTAGCAATATCAGCCCTCATGTTTTTCTTAGGAAAGCATTTCGCTCATTACAGCATTTGTAGATAAGGTATGGCAATATGAGCATCTTAAAGGGGAATTGAAGGCATCAGTCTTGAGAGCAAGATGAGTTTCTTAAAGCAGAATGTCAGGCAAAAATCAATACTTTCGGCTCTTACAGCTGTAAGCATCCACTGTCTGTACAGTTAACCCTCTACCATCATCTACCAAACCATGGTAAGGCTACTATTAATTTGACAAATCACTGGTAAGAAAAAAAAAATGCTGAAAGTGACACTAAACTCAGGAGCTACATTTTAAAAGTACCTTAAATATTAACAAAAATGTAGATTATCTGTGTATCACTCGGCTGTAGATTCTCTAATCATCACTAAATTCATACTGACGCTGTCCTTCCTTCTGGAGAGTGGCTCCTATAGTTCCTTATGGTATCTATGTGTGTTGTAAAGTAGCCAACGCTCTAGGCTCGCTCTTGGGATGGACTACAATCTCATGTTTAGTTTACTAATTTGTATTGAAGTTATAGTCTATTATGGGAGTGTGAGTTTGGAGCGGTGGCTACTTTCAACTCACACAGAGAACATATGAAACAAAAGTAGCCACCCTCCAGAAGAAAGGACAGTGTCAGAAGCACTTCAGAGATGATTTGAGGATCTACAGCTGAGTGATATGAAAATTAGGTACAGTTGCACGTCAATTTCCTTGGTCACCTGTTCCCTTTTCTGATTGGTCATGTCATAACTGGATGAAATTATGTTTTCCCAGTTACCTGGCGTTCTGTGTTTAAATACAACAGCATTTTAATGGTAGGGTGCTTTTTATTGTAAAATTATAGACAGGACTACAGACAGTTGAGTGAAACCATTTTTGATGGAGGCTGCCATTACTGATTTCTGATTCTGCAAATGTTTATTGCCAGTCTGGCATGCTGACCCTCTGGCTTCAGTCCTTTAAATTAGGGATGCACAGATATATCGCCCGCCGAAACATAACGTGTGAAAATGGCACTTTTGGCTAAATGCTGAAAGTGCAATTTTTCTGCCAATGCAGCTACACATCCCTGCTTTCTTTCCTCCCCGCAGGCGCTGCTCTGTGTCCCAGCGGGGAGGAGAGAAAGTGCCACAGGCGGCCGAATGCTGCGGGAGGGGAGTACTGTGAGCGGGCGGCGTCTCTCCTC